TTTTTTATTTTTTCACATTAAATCTACACCGAAATTTGAAAATCCTCCTGTCAAAATAAAATGTCTGCTGATTGATGTCATTATTAAAATAGAAAACGAAATTCATCAAAAAAAGAATCATTAAAAATGAAATATTATATTTTAGTATAATTAAGCCATTGGATCAAGTGAACATAGTCGACGAAATTCTTGACCACGTTCATGTATCCATTTATTTCCGACCCATTTATTACCAATCAATACTGGACAAGCTAGAAATATAATACATGAAATATAATCATGTGAAGAAAAAATAAATAAATAAATACCAGCATGTCGTGTTGTATAATCACCTAAATATTTATATAAATTATTAATAAATAAAAAAAAAAAGATAATAATAATACTACCTTCGCCTGATGCATAAAGATTATGCCAAAATGCAGCGCTTCCTTTTTTTGGTCTAATATATCCTCCGCAAGCAGGAAAAACAGTTGCACCACCTTTTTCAACATCGCTGAACTAGAAATTTATTTCGTATAAATTAAGATATGATAAAATTTTAATATAACTTACATAAGTTAGCCATGTAGCGATTCGATTACCTTAAAATAATTTTTAATTAACGAATTTTAATCTATAAATTTTTACTTACCAGCACCAAAACTTGCAAAAGCATCTTTTTCAGTTTTCTAAATAGAATTTATTTATATTTTTATTTCGAAATTCTCGAAAATATGAAACTTACGCGTGCAAAATCAAAATGTGGTTCATAATGACCACCAATACCGTAATTTGCAACCTAACAAATATATATATATATATCTTATATTACTTGTCTTACACAATTTATCAATACATACTTGAAGATCTTCTGCTGTTAACATACTTAAATTCGTTAAAGCTTCAATATAATGAGATAAACGAGCTACAACTGGTGATTCTTCATCTTTTAACCAAGCACTAAAATTTAAGTAGTATTTTAATAAAAATCATCTAAATACTACACGAGTGCATCTAAAACTATAACTACAACATGCAAATAATATATGTATATCTATATAATAAAAGACACCACAAACAAAAAAATTATATGTGATATATAATAAAAGCAAGTGGTAATTAACGTGCATAGGTAAAAATATGAATAATATATGTATATATCTACTTCAGTACCTTTTGCTCACTCTATAATTGGCAGGCTCAAGTGCTGCCGTTCTAGGATTTTGTACGACCGCTCTGCTCAGCTACAATCATAATAAGAGATAAATATACAGATCCGAATGAAAATGATGTTTTGTCCTACATTTTATACCGATCGAGTTATCAGTATGTAGTTCTATTTTTACTGATATGAAAGATATTTTAACAAAATAAATTTCACAAGTTTTAATGTTCTCAAATTATTGGGCACACACTATAATGTTTGATTTTCTTAATCTTAACTTTTGAGTATGATAGATTAAATCGATAAATACTATAAATAAGAAAATCTGAATATTTTCAACTTTTTATAATTGTACTGATATCTTTCATCACATATTAATAAGAGATAGTACACATAAGACCTTCATATCTCACGTTATTAATGCTTGAGACACACTTGAATGGCGGAGGGGTGTATTTCCTTTCGAGACTTCTAATGATTGCTCTCTATGAATTTATATTGATAACATTATTGTTCTCATCATGATCTTAGAAAGAGTGAGTTCATCAAAAGATGTTTTTAATTATTTTTATATCTCATTAAATTATCATTATTGAAAATCGAAATTTTCTTTCTCTCTCTCCCTCTCTTTCTGTAACATTCTACTGGTGATAAAATAAAACAAACACACGATGCATTTTATGATTATTCAATACAAAAGAATA